CTGAGATTACTTCGACGTGTGTACGCGCGGCGTGTAGCTCACACGCGCGTCGTCGCGTACCGTATTACAAATTCAAATGCAGCACTCATATTGTCAGAGTTATGTTCCCCAGAGGTGACTTGTCACAGAGTCGACATTTCAGAACGCACTGCCGTAACCCCTTGTACCGATATGTAAATACGGCCGATGGAGATCTCGCGGAAGTCTCGTCGGAGCGCATAGAACAGTGGACCGTATCATTTGACGATTGAAATGCAGATCTCGATGCAGATTAATGACGCACCAAAGTATAGATGCGTGCTCGTCGTTCTAGACGTACTCGCCTACTCTGACAGAAATGATATAACGTTTGCGATCCTCGGATCTTCCGCGAGATGATATACGCCAATCTCACGTGGCGTGACACATTTCCGCAATTTTCTTTCGTCAACCTTTAACGTGACAGTCATTAAATTATCACATCGCGCAATGTTTTCGTATACACTGATAAAAAGAATATCTTAATCCAAAAAAATATTACTTTACTCAAGAAAATTATTCATTACGTGGCTCCTAATAGCTTACTAACTTAACTTAAAAAAATTATAAACAAATTAAAACATGCATTCCTTTAATTTAAGTATTTATTAAATATCAAACAGTAGATAATTTTAAATTTAAAAAATTTTACTTTCATTCTATAAAATGTTTACGAAGATATAAGTTTTACAGCGAAGGAATTAGATTTCTTATTTGACCAAAACAATGATTTTATTTAATAAATAGTATTCTCTATCTCTTGAAATCTTTAATTGAATGTAGAAAATGTAATGATTTAAATTAATTTACTTATTGTAATATAATACACAGGTTTACTTGAAATTTGATATTTTTATTTAAATAGAATAAATATTTACTTCAGTAAAAAAATAACTTTAAGTAAATCTATTTACTTAGTTGAAAAAAATTTTTTGTCAGTGTACTTTTCCATACATAAGGTCTACGCATTCTTAATTATATTATATACATATATTGTCCTAAAAGAGAATAAAATATGTCATCTTTTCTGCATCAAGATCTTTATCTTCTATTTAGCAATGAATTAAGGTCAGCAATATAGAATCAAGGGAAATGCATTTTCAGGGGAAATGGAGGACGTCTGAAATTTCACAAACAGGATTTGTCTCTGAAGTAACTCGATAAAGACTTTTTATGCAAACAGAATGTGTTCGCACCGCGCTTTGTACATCGCAAATAAGGACCAGCTTACAACTGGCACATCGGTTTTCCAATAAAATTTATTTGTGTCTGCTTTGCATCGATGATTATTGCATTATGAAGCAAAGTGCATTATAATAAATTTCACTTTAACGATCCGTAAAGAGAGCAGCAAATTGAATTATTAAGTCCCGATATCAAAAATACTAAATTGATATAAAATAGCTACGCGTAGTAATTGTCGTTGACTATATCGTTGTCGTGTATTTCAATATGTAAAATAGTCCAATTATACAATATATACAGGCGGTCCGGAAAATCGCCGGATTTGTTTATATAAAAGTTACTACAACTCGGAAACGATTTATTTCCGGATCTACGTTTAGATAACTTCTTTTTCCTTCTTTCTGGGTCCTGAATTATTTCCTGAAGTGCGGGCGATTTTCCGGACACCCTGCACAATACTTAAATTTGCTTATAGAAAGACTCTGGGGCCTTTTCATTGCAAAATGATACTAAGAAAACCTATTAAATAACGTCAATACCAATTTAAAAGAATTTAATACATTCAACTTTGTAAGTACGTAACTCCTTCACGGGTCGAATATGCAAGCTGGATGTACACTGTGCCTTTCGTAACTGTTTTTGTCAAAGGGATATGCAGGTGTAAAAGCGAGTGGTATCTAATTAGCGGTCAGCTCTGCCAGTGGACCTTAATTCACCAGTTGAGACTCACTTTTGTCCACCGGTTCTCTCGGCTCCACGTGCATATCTACAGCGTTCAGTCAGGTTTGATACACGGCACTGCATTACGTACGTTGCATGCACTGTTTGTGCATTGCAAAATAGGAATATAAGGCCAAAGAGGAATTGCTAGATTCAAAGAAGACAAGCGACTCGCACACAAGGACTTAAAATAATAAGAGAGCAGATATATTAATGTTGACTATTTTATGTCTGAATAAACTTGTGTCGTTTAATCGCTACGTTCCAAAATTGCGATACAAAGGGATAGAAGTAAAATTACTTTCTTCTGCGCAAAATTACTTTTTGAAAAACAAAACTGTCCAATGCGATATGACGCGACGGCGAAAACTGCGAATCGAGATACTTTTTAAATGTCGCTCGATTATACTTTCGATTCTCGGCACGGTGTTGGCTGTTAAGATTCGAGCAAGTGATATGGGTCATTCGAAAAATTGCTTTGGCGGCATTGAACCCTCTCTATCGGCAATAATGCTCTGCCTTTCTCCCTCCCTTCTCTATTACGCAAAGATTTATTCTCCCCCAGGGATCAACGATTTCCGGCAATGGCTGGTACGTGACAATATAAACTTTAATCTACACTTCATGTTTCTTTCCCTATCTCCGCTTTTCCATATAATGACAGGCGTGCAATATCCGCAAATTGATTATAAAAAATGTACCCGATTAACTTTTCTCGTAACAGATGTCCCATATAAAAATGTTACCGCTGCAAAAATTAGTAGCATAGTCGAGAAATATTTTCACTAATAGAAACGCACGATTTTAATTAAACGTTAATTTGAATTTAATTTATAATTTTTGACGATAGGATGGCTAGCAGTACATATAACATAAAAAAGAATTAAATTAAATTCCGGGCACACATTCTCATGTTTACAGTGCATCGTTTAGTGCAAGAATGTAATTGCGTTATAAATAGTTGGGTGTACGCCAAGCGAGTGTACTTTGAAAATTCTGTTTCTCTCTTTATGGCATTCTGATCTAACACAATTATACGTGTAAATGTCAGTGGAGTGGAGAACAGTTGCAAAATTCTATTAACGTTAATATTTTCTTAATATTAATACAAGATAAGACGTTAATTCTCTTTGAAAAACGATCGATTCTTTTTATTCAAACGCGTGTCGGGTAATTTACGTAATTTATTAAAAAGTATAACGCACGTAATTCGACACAAAAAAGTGCGTTCTAAAATTTCTTTTACGACAAAATTCTAATTCACTTTTTATACAGATTGCTTAGTGACGATAGATACATGCCGTAGTTTGCAAGTGCTAGCTTAATTTCGTCTCGGCATATCACTCGTCAGATTCGTTTACAGAAATTATTTGTCGAGCCGAGTCAAACGCAGTGTGTTTGTTGATATTACCGCTTTTAGTTTCGAGAGTTACCGAGATCGAGTAGCAAACTTTGTCATCTTATTACGCGCAACATGAGCTTGCCGAACGCTATGGTAAACCGTGGTAAAAGCGCCGGGTAAAAGCAAGAAAGTCCGAGCATGCCATTATCGAACACGGCGCCTCTGTAACAATTCTATTTTCCCCAACATTGGTTTACGCCGAGGTTTACGCTTTAACAGCACCAAATGCGGTATTAGTTAGCGAGTTTGGCGAAAGAGTAACATTCCTACTCGCGGAAAGTTCGCCCTCGCTCTCACGTGTTCCGCGGAAGAATAGTTTTCCGCAATATTCTTTCGGATTGTTGGACGAAACCAGCGCTCCCCGTGATCCTGGCCAATCTTGCTGTTTACGGTGCAACTTCTCAGAAACGGAGAGTAAAGTTAAGATCTGATGTACCGTTCGAGTCGAGACTGTTGAACCGGGATAAGCTCCGCTTTCAATGGCCGGCACAGTCGGGTTTATAAACGGTCCTGCGTAAGTCATGAATTTTTACGAGCGATCTACGCTCGTAAAAATTGCTCATGATCTCTCCGCAGACACAGATATGGGCGTAAGGAATTCATGACCGATACCGGGTACGTTTGAAAGAAAACGAAGCTGGGAAAAGCGAGAGAGAGAGAGAGAGAGAAGGGGATGAAACACGGAGGATGAGCGGGAGATACTTCTCCGGAAATTACGCTCTCTCCGCAGAGGCAGCACTTCCGGTCCGGCTATATATAAGTCGTTCAACTAAGAAAAAGAACCGCAAACGGACATAGTCTGTAAACTTTTCGTGTCCAAAATGCTTTGTCCGTGGCGTTTTATCCCTAAACGTACTATGTTACTACGCGGTCCAGCACAATTGCTAAATATACGTACAGCCGCGCCAGACGATCGCTGCCCCGAATGCGGCCCGATGCAGATCGTACGTTATTTAGATTTTTTTTGAGCGAGTAAAAAGGCGAAATTGGAATAACTTTATTCGCCGTTCTTTTATGCGCGGTAACGAGCGATACCGTAATGCTCTTAAAAAGATGCAATATGTACGTATAATCCAATGCAAATTTTCTCCCGCCCATACATATATTATAAAATGCTGATATTTATTCATTTTATGGGCATCGCGTAAATTGGATATTGTTTTTCAACGTCGGATACGAAACATATTTAATGAACCAAGAAATTCTGTAGAATACACAAACGCGATACTGCATCCGGATTCGGGAAAGTGTGTCCCCATCAATCAATATTAATAATAACATAAGGTAATCAGCGATTGGTTGTCGAAATGGCATTGTTTGTTTCCTGCGCGCGACTGTCCGGATTTTCAGGCAACGGGATAGAGCGTTACGTAACCATTCGTTTGACGTCCGGGTATCGAACGATGAGGCTTTCAGTTAGCAACATTTCCGCGATTAAATACTGATGCTGCCTATGCACATCTCCCTCGGGAACTTCCGATCCGTTTACGTCCAGGAGTTACTATTTATGACTGTATCTACCTCATGTATTCGGGCACAGAACAGCCAATAATGCACACGTTAGTTAGAATCAACTTTGCTCGTCAACGCCGTTATTCATAAAACACTCCACGGATACGCGGTCGCACGATTATTAACGTTTTTCAACGCGCCCTTTTTTTCCCCTGTGTTGCAGCTCGTGGGCGGTGAATTCGACATGGAGCTGAATTTCGTGATACAGGACGCGCAGAACATCAGGCACATGCTGGAGCTTCTCGACCATTGCCCACCCAATCTCCAGGTAAGCGAGCGAGATGTGGATGTTAAACTAGGTCGAATTAATTACGCGCGGAAAATATCCAACGTAAATCCAGGGAGAATGCGGTAGAGAGTGCGGGGTAAGCGAGCGCCCGTCGATATCGCAATATCGGTAATTGAAATTGAAAATCTATTGTGTGTGTGTGTGTGCGTGCGCGTGTGTATGTGTGTGACATATCTATATGACAGACGTATATACGTGTGTGCGTGTGTGTGTATATATACAATGAGCTTCACGTTCTCGGGAATGCGAAGAACATGAAGATAGAAAAGTGATTTCTAAGATCTTCTCGGATATCATGGAGTAGAGTCGAGTTACACTATTGCGTTGGAGCTGATCGAAGAGTCTCAAGCTACTCAATCTTCCTGTTGCTTCGACAGTTCTCGCAGTAGATAACAATTTATATCTCTCTATAAGATTTTTCACTTCTCACCCTTCGGGGCTCATCGAATTCTTTCAGTCGTCCGCCGACACCCCCCCTCGAAAGAACCGAATCGCGACTTCTACACGTGTCCTCGGTCATTTTGCAAATTAATGATCAACAAAATTCAAATGTCCCTAGCTGGCGCTACTCGATTTACAAGTACGTCCTGCATAAATGCAAGGCGGGTATTTAGCAATTTAAATATTTTAATATTATCGCCATCAGCTCTTTGATACTGTCGCGGAACTTTATCGTCTATTCCTTCTGACGCGATAGGATAATTCCGCTGTACTACTGAATACGAAAATCACTAATGAAAACGAAACACGTGTCCATCGCGTGTACATACGCTGCGAGCGCATCAAATAAAGCCGCGGTAATTGAAGTTATGCGAAAAAACGGACGACTATTTTTCATACTGAAATCGCAACAGCGAAATGCTCGTATGATGACGCATTGGAAAGGAAAGCTGTGGAATATAAGGGCACACGTACGAATTTCTGATTTTCTCTCTCTCTCTCTCTCTCTCTCTCTCTCTCTCTCTCTCTCTCTCTCTCTCTCTTTTCTGCCGTTCCAGCTATCGCTACCTTGCTATTTGACGCGAGAAAAAAGAACGGGCGGCGCACGTAGGACACGCACAATCTCGGCATACAAAAGGATCGGAATCCATTACGCGGCAAATTTTTCTCGGATAGAAACGACATTTTTTTTTGCCGATCGCGTAGCACGAGATTTATCGCCGCTTTGAAGCAGCGTTCGCATTCTCCGTTTTTAGTGCTCGTGAAGCAGAGGTACATTGATGCACAGTGAGGAAAAAATATGATCTCGCGATATATCGTACTATCAATAGAAAAATGGCCTAGTGTAATCTGATCGATATTGATCGATGTAGACGTATATCGAGTACTGACATATAATAACTGACCAAGAGAGCGGTGATTTGTCCAAGTATTACTGGCAGAAATAAATTGTCCATTTTAACGAATTCTATACGCGACAATTAATTTTCCGATACGATAAAATTGGCGCGTTCCTGTTAATTAGTAAAGAACAGGCGTTTTAGTCGTTTCATTTTTAGTGATAATTTAATTTGTCCCGTTTCTGCTTAATTCGATTTTTAAATAGAAAAAAATAAATATCCCGGTCGGTTCCATTTGATTAAAAACAAACACGCAACAAGAGCTTTAAAAAAAAATGCTCGCGACCGATTTTTTACTTTTATAATGCGAATGTATTTCGCGTTTAATTTAGCACAAACTCGTTTGCATATGATTAATTCGCGTTTTACTCTATTTGGAAGGTACGGCGTATTTTCGCGAAGCTTAGGTGCAAAGATTAAAGAGAAAGACTTTTCCGCAAAAAGCACCATCTGCTATGTATCTTCGAAGTTCGTGTACGCCTCGCTTCGTTAAAAGCGGCGTACGACTTGGCGAGAAAGGAAAGTAAGGAACGGCGAACTTTTGTAAATAATAGCGGGTCCTTAGCCGCCATGTCGGATGAAGGAAAATCCGTTTACGCTTTCGTCGCTCTTCGCAAACTCATACACGACACTTGAGCCTTCGCAGCAAACTTTTGGCGTGAAAGTAAATAGAAATTTAAACTAGATGAATAGAATAGACAAAGTTATGAACGTTCTGCTCCTCCGCTAATCATCCGCGGTCGCCTGTCCTTCTCTCTATCAACGAAAAACCACGAATCGCCGCGCAGCGGCGAAGACTGTTCAAGTTCGAAATCAGATTCGCGCGAATTCGTTATCTAATAAAAATCTCCGCCCAGTTTAAATTGGATTACCAAATTTCTAAATTCCTAGCAGCGCTGCGATTTATGCGAAAGCTGAAAAGCCGCCGTATCCAGCAGCTGTGGCTGAGACGCGGAATTAATATGTACCCAGTATGCGGCTAGAAACACTCGCTTTACTGCGGTAGGTTCGCATCAACGTTAAGATGCAATTCATGGCGTAAGGGTACAAACCGAGTCCACTTATTACATACAGGATGTTTCCCTGCTCTCTTGATATCTTCCTTATACTTATATTTTTCTTTGACATACGAGTTAATGGGAAAGCAGAACGTTTTAAAAAATACCTTTAAAACGTTATCTTGACTTGACATTCTTGAAATTAACAGAGGGAATGTACTTCCTGTATATAATTTTGAATACCTCCGAATAAACTTGTCACTCGTCATACGACGGCAGCGGAATCGGTGGTGACGCAAACTACGATGCTATCGACTTACCTACAAAATACAAACACGCAGGTATAAGCGTGGATTACTTGCGCACCTACTCTAATTATATACTTTCGGAGAAGCAATTGTCGCTCGTGCGAAAGTTTTAAGATAATTGTAAATTTTACGAGTAATAAATGGAGATGGCAAACAGTAGAGTCCGACCGAAACCATCTTTTTTAGTTTCGGCCGAAACCGAAAACGAATATTCGGTTTTCTCTCAATTTCGGCCGAAACCGAAACCGAAATTTTTTGGAGAATCTTATAAAAGAGATATACCTAATTTTGAAAATTAGTAGAAAATGTACATTTTTAAAGTAAGGTTTTATTATAATACATATTTTATCAAGATATAAAAGTATTTTACTCGAGTTACAATATAAAATAAAATATCAAGAAATATTATAAAATAAGAGATCAACTTCAAGAGAATCGGATATTACTATTTGACACTATTAGCAACCGATGAGCGTTTGAGAGG